ATCCTGCAGGTACTCCACTTCTTAAGATATTCTCAGAAGTTATTGACACCAAAGGCGTGAATGCCCTTGGTGCCCTAGTTGAATAAATATTTTCATCACGCACCCCCCGCCTTTCCCTGTTTCCACGTGTCACCACTTCAGGGTATTCAAGGTATTTCACTCCCTAATAAATCCAAGGGGTTTATTGACACCAAATGCGTGAACCCCTGTGGTGCCTTATACAGAAAGAAAAATACTCGAAAAATTACGGAAAAATACTGTGAGTTCCGTAAAAATTTTCGTACACGGAGAAAAAAATATCGGAAAAATTATGGAACTTTCAAGTATTCGTGGGGTGACCATGCTTTTCGGGAAAAAGTACTGGAGGTACCGTAAAATTGATCTGCAAGTTTCGTAAAAATTCCTGTGAAATTTTTCGGGTATTTTTCTCTCCGTGTACACAGAAAAAAAATACCGGAAAAATGACAGAACTTTCATGTATTCGTGGGGTGACCATGCTTTTCGAGAAAAAGTACTGGAGGTACCGTGAAATTGCTCTGCAAGTTTCGTAACAATTCCTGTGAAATTTTTCGGGTATTTTTCTCTCCGTATACACAGAAAAAAAAATACCGGAAAAATGACGGAACTTTCACGTATTCATGGGGTGACCATGCTTTTCGGGAAAAAGTACTGGAGGTACCGTAAAATTGTCCTGAAAGTTTTGTAAAAATTTCTGCTCGCTACACGGAAAGAAAAATACCGAAAAAATGACGGAACTTTCACGTATTCTTGGGGTGACCATGCTTTTCGGGAAAAAGTACTGGAGGTACCGTAAAATTGCCCTGAAAGCTTCGTAAAAATTCCTGTGAAATTTTTCGGGTATTTTTCTCTCCGTGTACATAGAAAGAAAAATACCGGATACCGGAAAATGATGGAACTTTCACGTATTCGTGCGGTGACTTTGGTTTTCGGGGAAAAATACTGTAAGTTCCGTAAAAATTTTCGTAGCAAGCAGGAATATTTACGAAACTTTCAGAACAATTTTACGGTACCTCCAGTACTTTTTCCCGAAAAGCAAGGTCACCTCAAAAATACGTGAAAATTCCGTAATTTTTCGAGTATTTTTCTCTCCGTGTAGTTGAACAAATATTTAAAACACATGCTCACTCGCCACATCGGTCAGGTATTGTCTATTCACCAGAGTCCCTGCTGGTGCCCCATTCATTTATTGCCCCCATTTATTGCTTTATTTAGTTCATATATCGCAGTTGACCTATATTGTAAGGGCGGACTCCTTCCGTTCCCCAAACGGCGCCGATTTGGCGGGAATCCTGCAGGTAATTCCCTTCTTAAGATATTCACAGAATTTATTGACACCAAAGACTTTTAATAATTTAAATGAAGTGTCAGTGACTTCTCGGAACTGACCACCCGGTCCCCCGGCGGTGTGAAGGGGTGGGGCGGAGGAGGTGACTTCGGCCGCCCTTTCCCCTACTTACCCCAATTACCTGCTGCATTAACTGGTCCTTTAGTCAAGTGCATAAATACTGCGGTTGCAAACCCATGACTATCATTACGATTTCGATAGTTTTGGTGTAAGCACGACTTTCCGAAATCAGTTCACGTGAATATTCTATTCCGGTTCAATTCTCGAATAGTGAAATAACGAAAATGTCGTTAACAAAAGTGCAGATAGTGACAAGTGATTATACTTCAGCTCTGAACGAACTCAGCAGCACTTCCAAGTCTCAGATACGGTCGTTGACTATGTTGGCGGCGGATAACGTTGAATACGCCTGGAAAATTGTGAGTGTCATAGAAAAGCGCTTGCAAGATTTGAAAATTGGAGAGCATGTGCCAGTGCTCTATCTCATCGATTCCATTGTCAAAAATCTTCAAGGGGTGTATTTGGAGTTATTCGCTAAAAAGCTTGTAGAAAACTTCTGCAATGTCTACATGATGGTAATTG